GGCAGACATTTTCTCACTGAGAAATAGCAACACTAATAACAAATTCAGCAGCGCTCTGACTCACGTTTCTACGTGTCGATGAATATGTCCGTTTACAAGACACGTCGTGTGTAAACGCAGGAAACCGCCTGTAGGCGTAACAGAATTTTTAATTGACTCTAAGCTAACAGTGTGTTTCATAAGTGAATGCTTAACAAAATTCTTTCATTTACAATAAATAATTCAATATGTGCGTCAAGAGTACCATGATGAGCAACGGAACGTTCAAGAATTTGAAGAAGAAAAAAAAAACAAGTAGTCGACAATGCATTATAGAACGATGAGTGAAGGCTTGCAGCTATAAGTCATACAGAAGAGCGACCGAGAAGAAAGAATGTAGCAGTGAGCTGCTTGAGAAACCTGCATGAGTTCAAGAGCTCAACTTTTCATTTGTAATTTATGCAAAGCATGATTCATCACAGATTGATTAATTTGAGCACATTCTAGAAATAGTTGATAATTCAGCAATGTACCTCTCACATATATAAAAGGACACTACGATTTTACGCTTGTTTTCAAACAAATATAGATTATAAGCAACTACTTTCACATCCCTTCACTGAAAGAAACTGAAACGGAACACAATGTTATGTCTATGCCATAAAAAGCAATTATGTCTGCATTAGTTAAAGGATTCCATTTTGTTTCCATGTTCAAAGCTTAATGGAAACAACTCAAAATATTCCGCACACAAATTTGTAAAAGGTGGAAAGATGAAAGAAGTTGTGCCTTATCCTGTACCAAGAAACGAAGCACCGAAAGATTTTTTTGTTTTTCCGTCAATCGCTATCTCAAACAAAGAAAAGTGGAATCTTGAAGCAAGTGCAGGAAACCAGAACTCACTCCTCTTAGAAAAACAATCCTTATCATGAACAAATTCTTTTTTCATTCTTAGCTGTTCTCCCCTCGAAGAATCATCTACTCTGACCTACTGTTATACTCGTTAAAAGCGATAAAAAAAACTGAGAAATGATTACTTACCAACAAACTCAACAGCAACACTGTTCCCATAAATATCTATAATTATCCATATTGGAAGTGACACATTGATTCCAACCAAAAACACGCCCTGAAAGTCAGCTCATTAGTTGAAAGTTTCAATATTGAAGAATTATAAGGTTCTCTCATACCTTGTGAACTCCATTAACCCCATAACAAAGATCGCCAGCATGGGTAATGGAAAAATGTAGGATATTGCCTTCTACAGAGTATCGTTCAGGAAGAGCTTTCGCCCAAAATCCCTCCTTTGAAGTAAGGTCAGGACATGCAAATCTGGAATCGAAAATTCTGGAAGAGTGAAGACAATGTTAAGAATGTTGAAACAGGTAAAATAAAGATAAAATGAACTATCAAAAATGTGGAAAGGCTATTCAACTACCAACAATAACTTTATTTCGATGAGCGGAAATATGCACGACTCAAAACGTTAACTCCTTTGGCAAGAGTATGTTTAAATCAGTTTTGCTGCTTACTTGGGTACTTGAATATTCCTATATGTTTCTGGATCCACGTTCGTAACTCCAAACCTCAACACGCCTGACCAGCTTGTCGACACCTCCGTCAGGCGTATACAAACATTTTCGTTTACAGATACAGGCCTGAAGAAGTCTATAACATCAAACAGAGGATTATGGTAAGTTACAGCATAGTATTTCTCACCTATTCGAAAACGCAAGTCCTTTACAAAAACTTTCCTTTCGCTTTGCAACTCGACCACCTAAACACGAAGCTATATTAATCCTACAATGCGTTTTAGCGACGATTAATCGTTTACCTTTTTGCAAAATAACATTCTGTCCATGAACCGAATGAAATCCCAGCTGCGGCAGACGTGTGTCTACCGTTCCTGAAAAATGTTCGGTAAGATGAAAAGATGATGGAGTTGAGCTGACACAATAAAACAAACCTTGATTCACAGAGATTCCATCAAGGTCCGAAAACGAATCAAGCATGTCTGAAAGTTAAATATTTAAAGGTGGACATCTAATTCAAACTTAATTTGAACGGGCCGTATAGACCTCGTAAGACTTTACTGCTGGCGCAAGCAATCAATCATGTCATGACGTCAGCACTAGAAACTATGGTTTGCTTCGAGTGAAAACTAAAAGCCGTCGATCTCGTGAATGGTTGGATGACCAATTTCCTATTCCAGCCTAATATTATGAACCAACACTGGCACGCTGTCATAATGCATTGCTTGACACACATGTTAAAAGTAAAACTAGCGTAAGTATTGCTTCCTTAACATTGTTCAAGCGAAAACTCTTTCGTTAAATATAGAACAAATTTTTACGGAAGATAAAAGCAGTATTGGAATATAAGGTAAGTAGAGGAAAATCTACCGAAAGCAAGAAAAGTTTTGCGCAAGTACAAAAATAGCCGCTGGGCTACGAAGTGGCCAATTATAAACCCATCAATAAGGCTTTTCCTGGTGAGACGGAACCTGTGCAATGTCGTGTTGGGTCTGAACGCAAACACGTTCGCTTTATGATTTAGAAGCAACTGAGTACACAAACCTGCAAGTTAAGAACGCGCAGCGTCTCGCGTAAGCACATTTCTCTGTATACTAATCGAATTATAGAAAATAGCTGGCAAAGTTTAAATTGTGTTCGCAATACAGC